TAACTCTATGTATTATTATGTATACATGTGTGTGTATTAGTTTTTTATTTTATTTTATTTCAAGTGTTATAACTAATTACTTTATGTATTAGTGTGTGGGTATACATATAAGAAATTTTAAACGGGTTCGGGTCTTTAACGGGTCGGAATCATATGTACCATACCCGACCCGTTTATTAAAAGTACTAACGGGTCCGGATCCGGGTCCGGGTAAACGGAATAAAATATAGACCCGTACCCGTTAAAAACAACAGGGTCCAGATCGGGTCCGGGTCTAGACCCGACCCATTGACAGGCCTAACCACATTATCATATATACTCCGTATCATAAAACTAATATTTGTATATTAGCTTGAGTTGCAAATAAAAATCATACTTCATATATAAATCATAAGTGACTACGTGGTACTTCATGTAACACGTACGTACTATTCATGATAAAACTTATAAATAATAACTAGTTTTGTGTCGCGCGTTACGCGATATGGTAATGCCCAATATTTTCTTTGTAACTTAAACATTTTGTTTTTCGCTTGTTCTTATGTTTTATTTGAAAATGTACCCTTGTTTTGGCAACTTCGACGTAAATCTATTGAAATGGATTATATAATTCAAACTTAAACATGCAATAGTAGTCATTGAAAGGAAAGTACTACGTAATCATATATACCCATATGAAAAGTAATTGTCTATACTAAAGTGAGAGATTGAATTGGTAAAATATTGATTTGATACTTCAAACTTATAAAATGACTTTTTAATACTCAAACATTTGAGACATTGAAATACTAAAGGTCTAAGATGTCATGTTGCTCCATAATGTTCGGGAAAACTTCCCTAATTGAAGAAAATGGAAGAAAAAATCACACATGAGGTACTTAAGGAGTGTTTGGGTTTGCTTAAAAAAAGCGCTTTTTCAGCTTTTGGCTTAAAAAAAATTAAAAAGAGTGTTTTCAAATGACTGCTTCTGCTTAAATTAATCACTTAAAAGCTAAAAGCTGGAAGCAGGTAGAAGGGTGCTTTAAACTGCTTCTCACTTTTTTTATTACACAAAAAGTACTTATTTTACCAAACACTACCAACTTTTACTTTTCCAGAATCACTTTTTTCTCAAACACTACCAACTTTTACTATTAATCACTTTTCCCAAAATCACTTTAAAAAATCACTTTTTTAAAGTTGAAGCAATTGCAAACACTCCCTTAATCTCCACAGTCATACGATGAAACAAAAGAAGAAATTAAAGTACCCCCTAATTTAGATGGAACACAAGTTTGGTAAATGGCGGTTCGACACTAGCGTTTTTGGACGAAAACGCTAAAATGAAAATGCTGCTAATATAAGAGTTGCGTTGGCATTTTGAAAAATGACCTTTTCTACCAATTTTATGGTCAAACAGCTAAATTACCAAACATCTGCTAACAACCCGCCAATTTATTCCGCTAGTCGAACCTGCTGACTGAATCCGCTATTGACAACCCGCTATCCGTCAATCGCTAACCGCTGAATGCCAAACACGTCCTGATTTTTTTTGGGTAAAAGCACACAAGGTGAATTGAGACCACGTCAAGTACGATTTGATCAACTTAGTTACCTGGCCTAGTTTTGCTACGATACCTATTATTACTCAAACTCTACCTTGATACCAACAAAAATAGTGGAATAAGGCGGTGTTATAAGCACCACAAGCTTTACAAGCCTTAAGATTAACAAACACTACTAAAAATAACTTAATCAGCACAGATCTTAGACATGGACTTATGTCTAATCCATGTCAAATTCCGTCCCAATACTATTTTGTCACGAGCTAATTAGCACGAAGCCATGCTACCAACCAACAAAAAATTTGAAAAAGTGTCTTTATGTACATGATCTTAGACACATAGCTTTCAAAATAAACTCCTAATTGGTAAATTCGAATGACTAATACTCTTAACTAAAACTCTGTTGATGTTATATGTATTCTACATGTGAAACATTAATAGTCAATAGTGCATACACATATCACTTACAGCACAATTTGTTACTTTGAATGATGTGAAATATTCATTATTGAATTGGCAATCATATGGTATACTTAATGCTAAATATTCTACCAGAAGTACTGCAAGTAAATTCGGGGTTCGTTCATGTCTCAACATCTTAAAAAAGAGCACCCTACAAGAGCTTTGCTATATAATTAGAAGATAGGGGGAAAACTCAAAGTATTAAAAGAATAGCTATACCAAAAAGATAGCATAAGTAATGGACAAATTAATATCCAACTCATAAGCATTGGACCGGCCAGTTTAGCACTAATACTCAACTGGCCGGCCAACTCTATTCCGGAAGTTTAAAATCTATTTGTGATCTATTTAAAGGGCATTTATTTCAGGGCTTTAACTTTTCTTAGAACATCTCCATTCATACTCTTTAAATAAACTATTCTCTATTACACATCATTGCGACATCACATTTATTCAATAAATTTTAAATAATCTCAAAACTTAAAACCCTTCATCAATAATGATATTCAAATAATCCGAGATTTGAATTTTAATACCGAATAGTCTTTTTCAATAACCTCCCTAATAAATAATTTCTCACTCACAATAATAATATCTAAAATAATCATACACATCATCCAATTAAATTTTAAATAAACTAATGGATGAGGAAGCCCCAAGTGATTAAAGTATCAGACTATTAAAAATAAAACTTTCGTGTGGTAGTGTGGCATTTAATACTGCGGCCTTTCATCTTTTCAAAAAGTTGGGCAAATTACAGTAGTGAAATAGAAAGAAAAATGGGAGTGAAGGATTCAAGGAGTTCACAATAAAAGCTAAGTAATTAATACGTAATTAATAATAATAATCACTCTCAAGGAATGAAAATTGAAGTGAACGACAATTAACGGAGAAATGCAACAAGAGCAAAACTTAACGGAGAAAGGATGCCGTACTTAGATATAAAAACGATTGTACCATAACTTAAGCCTAGAGTTCAAGTTGTTGGAAAAATGTGTGAAATATTGCATTAAATGGCTATTTTGGGGCAATTTTTTGAGTGGGGTCCACTTTCGATTTGGGTCGGGTCAAAATGGTTTCGGATTGTCCTTGTTAAGGGCTACAATTCGATATATGGTACGCTCAAAACGGATAACGGGTGAATGAGAAATCGCTTTTCGAAGTTTACCCGTTAGAATGGAAAAACTGGGAAAAAGGATGGGTTTCTAGTGTTAACTAGTATTGTACCCGTGCGATGCACGGGACAAAGTTTTAATTATTACGCAGTATATTTTATTTCTGATATATAATGGGGTAAGGAGAACAAAGAGAACAAATGTGACATAGAGAGATATATGACCTCTGGTTTTTGTGACTTCAGCAAAATATCTATTCATTTTAATGAATTACATACGTAAGGTATTGCATGCTTAATGTAAATATGAACATTCTTATTCTAAGTATGAAAGACTCAGGTATAGAAACATACGGTCATTGATAAAATTTAAAAAATAAGACCACGTATAGTTTAAGAGAAAATGTATTTAATTGGAAATAATGAATTGAAAAAGTACTTAGAGTATTTTCTCTGGAGCGATGGTTCCTATTGCACTTCGACTTAACTTTGTCATAGACGTAGATGTAGTATATATATGCTAGCTTGTTTACTTGTAAGATTACCTTGAAATTTACCCTTTTCTTATGCTTGCTTACTTCTATTTTTTTAACCGATGGTTTTCAACCGGTTATATACTTAAAGCTGTCCTACCTTTTCAGCCGTTTGTAACCATCCCACTATGTGTACAATTTCTAAAGCATTAATTAATGACTGTACAATTAAACAATCTGCTCTGAATAGAAACCTGCTTGAAAGTAGATAAAGAATACCAAATAAGAACAAATTGAAATAGCTTACAAAAATTGAAATATTAAAACTTACCAAGTTGAGAAAGAAAACAGGAAAGTCAAACAGCGCACACTTGGTATTTTGCCTAGATTGAAATCCCATTAATCGAACGCTATTTATAGTGTGAGTGTGAGTCAGTTTTTTTTCTTTTTACAGTTGGAGATCGTGCAAGTGGTGTCCATATAACTGTAATGGGACTCTCATATCCGAACAGTTTTAAGTTGTTATCCAATTAGTGTTGTGACATGTGTTACCCACGATCCAAAGACCTACCGAGTGTGTAGAATGTGTTCTTCTGCCCATTTGCCCAACCATAGATATCTACGTACATAGTGTGTGCCACGTCTAAACATAAGATTCCACGGCGGGAACAATTGAGTTCTCACGGTTCCCTTTTTATATATATAAAGATTTCCCACGTTCAGGGAGGCCAAATGCAACTTGTGTGTATTAATATGTAACTTTACGTGTACAAATATGTAATTTTACGTATAAAAATATGTAACTCACATGTATAAATACATAATACAATAAATTTTTTATATACACAATTTTAAGATAAATTGTGATTTACACAATTATTTTTCTGTATTAAATTTAGTTCGGTTTCCCTTATAATCCAATAATCATTTATATAATAGTTCAATAATTTGTTAAAATTACATAAACAATATTGGTCTCATTTGAAAGATCATGAAAAATAAAAAAAATTAATATAAAATTTATAAAAATCGGATATGAAATAAAAAAGTTATTACAATTTTTAACAACAAAAGGAATAAAAAATAAAGAAGTCAAAAATACCATATACGCTGCTTGCCAAAAATAAAGACCGGTATACGGTGCTCACCGTATACCGGTCATACGGTATAATTTGCGATTCCATAACAATATTCATGAATAAAATATACTTCGTATATTTGATAATAGGAATGTAATTATGGATATCAAGTATAGTAGATGTGGAGTATCTCTATGGTAGCAAATATAACACACCCAGCTTCATGGGGAATATTCAAACATAAAAAAATTATACGTAGTAATACTTACTCCGTAGTAATATACTAGCGTGGGACGCGCGTTGCGCGACGGTCAGGCCCAATGCTCGGTAAAGAGAGAAAACTGCACTTAATAAAAAAACTGCGCAAATATATTGCGAAGTATCCAAAACGCAGTTCAATGTTGGTCTTTACAACCGCATGGTGAAGTAACATTGCAGTTTGAATGTTTGGGTAAAAAAGATGAAACAAAACATCTTACAAACATAGCTAGGACATAGTAGCATCAGTTAACATTGAAGTTTTAATGTTTGAGCAAAAAGATGAAACCAAACCAAATAGAAGCAGTGAAGGCACATCAGCAGTGTGGTGTTAATTCAAGAAGGGCAAGCAGCATCACTGCAGGCACCAGTACGTATTTCAGACGTATTGGGTTCGTTTGGCAGCTTCTCGACACCACATGAGGAAATGGTGAGTAGCAGTGCTCTACCACGACCATGCTTAAAGAAGCAAAGAGTGGAATGCCACTTGAGTTCGTAAATATATTCCGAAAGGGAAAAAAGGAAAACAATGGTTACATTAATGCAGCCAAAGAACCATTAAAGCCTGGGAAAAAAATTAGAAATTTCTAAGTGAAGGCCATGAGCTTCACGTGCATACCTCATACGACATCCTTTCTAGAAGCGGCGTAGCTAGAAGGATAAGGCTGTCCCGGTTCCTGAAAGGCCTGAAAGCTAATGCTGGAATCCCAGAACTTTTAAATACTTGAGGCAGTGAACGATCGAATCAATTGAAGTCCGGCGGTGCTCCCGTCCTACGCCTCCAACTTGAGAATTAAGTGCCAAAATTGAGTTTTGCATTTGACTTCATCATATCAATCGATATGGATATCAAAGAAACAACAAACATAGCTTTAAGAAGTATCGCCACAACAAGTTGAAAATAATTTGGCACAATAATTAAAAGTTATACCTATGAGATTGGTCTCTACAACCAAAAATCCCTCTAATCCCAATTTCAGCAAGTAGGTGGCTTCTTAAGCAAAAGTTGACCACGTTCAAGACACTCCCGCAAATTGAGCTGCAAAACAGCAACATTTAATTAGTCCAGAAGTTTAGTGTACATACATCTTACAGTTTGAAGCAGCAATGACTAATTTTGATGAAGTAGCTTTAAGCATGACAACAGCTAAATTCTAGTTCCCGAAGGAAGAGAAGGAAGTGTTCCTAACACTTCCGCCCAACACCATAATATTCCTCCCTAAAAGAAAGTGTTCATAAACATTTTTATTAATTATAAGAATAAAGGAAAAATTTCCATCATTTGCAATGGAGCCAAAGATTCATTATTTTTTGGCTTGAGAATATGATGGAATAAAGCAAAATGGCTCACTGAACTGTGTGTGCTTCTTTGTTATGAAGCAGCAGTCAGTCCATGCAATTTTGGACGCGATTTTCACTACGAGTCATCCGGAAACAGTCTCTCTGTGCTTTAGTACAGGGGTAAGACTGCGTACATCCGACCCCCCGTTACCTGGTGGGAGCCTTTGCGGCACTGGGGTAAATGAAAATGAAATGAAAATGATATAAGAATAAAGGAAAAGATTGCACTTTTATTAATTATAACTTAATTATATATTTAAATTCAGGTTGGAAATATTGTTAGGTGTGGACCAATTGTCCTCAGTGCCCCTTCTGTTCATACATATTCAGGAATCATAGCATTCATTGTTTACAAAGGACAACATTTCCACCATGCAAAAAGGAGAGATATTAGATGTTGGGAGAACCTGCCACAGAAGTAAAAAATAGTGACGAACCTATATCCAACACAAATCCCACTTACCCACATATAGAAAGCCGAGTCCACAACTTCAAAGCGTAGAAATATCCTACGCCCTGTATAAGTAGCATCAGTCTATGCCAGTTATCAGTCTCTTCAATCTGAATCAAAGCCCACATGTCATTAACTATGCGTAAGTAATAATTCAACACACAGACCGTATAATAGCAGAAACATTAGTCAAAACAAGTATTTATAAAGTCTTGATTGATAGCTTGATGAATCAATATTTCCTGTGGGTTCATACTCCGTATTAAATACTCCAAACTTCCATATCTAGTAAATATTAGGCATTTGGCATTTCAAAATGGGCAGGAAAGATTTAAGAAGAAAAACATTTCTGGAAAATAAAACACAAAACCAGAACCTTAGCAACATCTTTATTTCAACTACTGCTTCTGTCCATAGATACATTTCCTACTTTCCATCCACCACTTAGTAAAATATTTTTCCTTATTTGGTACAAAAGTAACTTTACTACCCTATTGACATATTTTAGACCACCATTAATCACTCCCAACACCATGTCAAGTAAAAGGATGAATCTTATCAACTTATTAAGGATTAGATCTGACCTTTTCCATTAACCCTTCTTAGATTCCTATTCCACCTATGGATAAGCAGACCTCTTTAATTAACCATTCTTAAACTCTCATTTTCACCTATGGATAAGCAGCGCTTGCTTTCAAATGATGGACTCACAGTGCCATATGGATAAGCAGAATTTGAGATGACACACATAATCTGTTATAAGAATGAAACCAAAACAAACCTGAAAAACTCATGGCAGAATCAATGGATATCCTTATATATAGTTTACCCCTGGTGCCTGGTTGGTAAGGAGCTTAGATGATTTTAGCAAATGAGTAGGTGGCAGATTACATCACATGATGTTCCAATCATACAAATGAGGACAATTTTTCATAACCAAGGGTATCACCTGTAGCTGATTCCTCTTCATTCTTACACGGAAATAGGCCAACTAACCTTCTTAGAGTACAAGCATGGTGCTGAATTCAAACTTTAGCTAAATCATCCTTAAAGCATAAGCATAAGCCAAAAATATAATGCGGAGTAATAAGTAAATGGAAAATGGAAACCAGCAGCTAGAACTATCTGACTATATCATAAGAATAGAAACTAACCTCCCTTGGAAGCATGGTGCTGAATTCAAACTTTAACCTTTCATCATCAACTTCTGCAACTCGTTTCCTGTGATAATCTATATACAACTCCCTGGAAACAAAAAACGCTAAACTTAATGATGCCACCCCCAAAATAGACTGAAGACAACCCCGAAGTAATGATAGACCATAACCTAGTTCAAGAATGAGTGACAAAAGCCGAGAAGGGCATTTGTTGTTCCATTCAGTCAGCGCGTTTTTCTTCTCCCCTGCATCACCAGGACTATGATATCGCCTAAAGTTCACACCCTCCCAACTCAATTGAAGAACCGGATATGAGCCTAAACTATGAACTTCAAAGTAATCAGAGAGGGTGGGAGTGTGTTGGCACTGACAATGCAACAGTCTTCTTAAGAAAAACGTCTCATTTGGCCACCAAGACTTTCTGATTTATTCTATTGAGCCTTCGACCTTCTATTTTTTTTATCAGAAATATTTAGTTCTAGAGTCTAACACATTGTCACATTGGCCCCATGTGCTTTCTGGATCTATCACACCGAACCCCTCTCAAGGTTGTCTTAAGATTTGACCTGTGATGAAACACAAAGCTTTAAAGGATCTTGTCACACACAAACATCAACCAATTATTTGTGCTGAAAGACAATGAATGAATGAAGGAAGGAAGGAATGATCTACACGTGACAAAAGTAAATGGATTTTTGAAGGCTTTATACGGGCAAGACCCTATAACCAATAAAAGGGGATATTACCATAACTGCTGTAGAAGAAGTAACTAAAATGACAGATGAAAGAAATGTGATGTCAGAAGAACCGAAGAGAATATTTTATCAGGTTAGTCCTTTAACCTAATAATATTTTAAGCTAAGTGGGCTTCTAAAGCGACTAAGATGGTGCTGGAACTCTGAAAGTGATCATTTAGTTATGTTAATTTGTGCCTCTCTGGACATCATTTTAGTGATATTTAGGAAAAACCTCTGTATAATTTATCAAAAAGACAAATAATACTTCACAAAAGATCTGTGAATACATCAAAAATTCCCCAGAGATGATAAAAGCACGGCATAGCAGGTTCAAATGTCAAGGCATGCCATTATCTGCTAGATAACTCCCCAAGATTCTCAAAACTTTAGCAAATTCCTGGGATAGGTGCTGTCAATTATTTGTTAGTCTTAAAACAAAACTCAAGTGCGACTAAAACGAGAGGAGGTTTTTATATAGCAGAACCTTTAGGTTGCCTAAAGCATTTTGGGCCCTTTCCTCGGCCATAGATGCTTCAAAATCTACATAAAACAGAAAGGGAAACTATCTGCATCAGCGTTGAAAGGAATATCAGCAAAAATTGGAATTGAACCATAAATTGATAATCTAGTTTATCTACACAATCTACACTTAAAAAGTAAAAGAAAGTTGCCAATGGATGTACTTAGGGAAACCATCAGTGTTACTGTCAATTATTTGCAAACCCATCTTCTGCAAGGAGTGCAATGGATGACTTTCAATCTGGAACAGAAAGTAAATCAGTGACAGCAGTGATTATGTCTACAAATCCACGAACATACCTTGTTCTTCCAAATCTTTCAAATTACCTAAATTGAAAGAAAAACAAAAAATAAGATCAAAGCCCACATTAATAAATGAAAAAGAAAATAAGATCACCGGCAAGACTTCACTTTCCACATCTCCAAGACCACACAAATAGACTCTCCTTTGCATATTTTTTTAAAGCGGTGTCCCCAAACAAAACCACTAATATAAATTCAAATTATACTTGATTTAGGCTTACCTTGTAGAAAATCAGAATTATAGGTAGTTACGAGTAGTTTGAAGTCTGCAATTCGTATAAGTCCAGAGATGCTCATGTAGGGACACACATCTGCTGCCAAAACCTCATAAATCAATACAGGACATACAAGCCCACAAAAAGAGCACATCTTACGGAAAAAACGTAGCTTCAAGAGTGAATTACAAACACTCATACAACGAACAATGTATTTCATATTACATATTAAATCAATACAAAACCAAGTTAACCAAACTATACAATCAAACTTACTTTTGATTTACCTTCTCAAAAAACAGAACCGTGGCGGGGTGGGCATCTGCAACCGCATCTATGGATATATGCCTAGTTGAGAAATCTTTAATTTTGAGATGGGGATTTGTTGAAACCCTTTATGCCTTTTCCTAAGGACCATCATATTCTTTACCACTCTCCTCTTCATGTCTTTTCCTAAGTTTTCCATATCGTGCAACCCTTTAATGTTTGTCATTCAACTTTTGTTCATAATCTCTTTTGTGTTCACTTTCATGTCTGTCACCATCCTTCCTGTTTTCTCTTCTACTTTGTCCATATCTTGAAAATCACTATCTATCACCTCCCTGACACACATGCTGCAACAGCTTTTTTCCATCTTGATCACCATCCACATAATCTGACTCTGAGGAAGAACGAGAGCTCAGTTCAGTTTCAGAATGCCTCCTATATATATATAGATAATAAATATAAAGTAATAACAAAGTAAATACAAAGTAATAACAATCACAAACAAATCAATTAATTAACAAAAAACCTAAAACTTATATTCATATAAATACAATATAAAATTAAATAAACTAACTACTTTTTTCAATGTTATCTTATTCATCTCATATGGGCATGCCTCTGTAAGGCACTACTACCCATGACCCTAAGTGACAAGCCCCAATTATTTTCAATCCCAAATACCCCATATGGCCAATCGGCCATACCATAGGGAATAAAAGCCATTCTTAAATCTTAACTCTGTATACCGCAGGTCTGCGTAGGCAACATAGCCAATAAAGCCAATAAAATTCCCAATTATTAACAACTAATTTCAATTTCCAAATTTCAATTCATTACAAATTAGAGCTTTTATTTTCAATTCACTTAATTGGAGATGAAATCAAGACGCAAGAGATTAGAGAAAGACTCACAAAGTGCAGAGGCGGAGTCCGTCAATCGTCTTCCAAGTTCGCTGCAAAAACGAGGTTGCTGACTTGCTGCCTCGCGGGTCGCCGGTGAGTTCAGTCGCCAGTCTCCTTAAGTTATTCTTCACGCTTGGTCGTTTGGGGCCTTAGACGCTTCACGCCTTCACCGCCTTCAACCCTTCACGCTTGGTCCACAGTTTCGCGCAGAGAGAAGGAGAAGAAAACAAAGAAGCTTTACGTCTGGCTGGCCAGCAACGGAAGAAGAAAATATTCTTTAAGCCGAACAGTACCGGCCAAACGCTGGCCACACGTAATTACTAAACCGCGAACACCAAACGGAGAAGGCAACCGTCACTCGCATTTGTGCTGATCTACAGTAACCGTCATGCACTGTTTTAATGGAAGAGGACCATCTAACGGTCATTCGCACATTATATATATAGTAAGATTCAAGAACTTTTACGGACATTCAAACAATTACACTTTCCTTCTCTCGTTTAATTTGTTCGCTTTTGTTTTTCACCCCATCCCAAAATAGTAATTGTATTGCTTTCCTAGTTCAAACACACTAAAAACTTTCTAGTTTTTTAAGGGTTTAATGCATCAAACCCCCTTGTGATTTGGAAATTCGGCGCATTAACCCCCTATGATTTAAAAAATGCATCAAACCCCCTTGTGTTTTAATTAATCATGCACATAACCCCCTTTATGAATAAATTTAATGATTTGAAAATCACTTTTTCTAATATTTTGATTGAATATGCAAATAAATATGTCAAAATCTCTGAATCATACAAAAATGTTGATCATTTTTCTTTTATTTGACAATTGAATTTGTTCACATAAGGGATTTGGCGCATGGTTAATTAAAACACAAGGGGATTTGACACATTTTTTAAATCACAGAGGGATAATGCGCCGAATTTCCAAATTACATGGGGGTTTGGTGCATTAAACCCAGTTTTTTAAGTTCAACTTCTCTCTCTTAAGGGACAAGTTTAATTTATTAGGAAGAGGCCGCGCCAACACAAACCCCCACTATCACAAATTATGACGTAGGTTCCATCACTTGGGTAGACCTTAGGATGATACCTTTCCAATTCAATGTGCAATGCAAGTCACCAACTTCGGCCATGGATCTTCTTGATCACCCATTGACCCGTCCAGGTAAGTATGTTTCAATGAGTCAATAGCTTGAATTTTACAAGTCCCTTGCTCCGTTTCTGCTTCTCTAAGCTTCGGTGTGGGAACTTCAATATAGTAAACACTATCTACACTCCATGCACTTTCACGCAGCCCGTATACTTTGTCTTGGTCAAGCTAACCACCACTTCCAATGCCATATATCTCATCCTGTTGCTCAACAAACTCAATCGATCATTTGAATTTGTGTATAAAATAATTAAACTAACTCGTTTTGTTTTATGAAATTTGTCACTATAAACTACTTTCATGCTTCTAGAGCGATAAAAAGGGATACAAACAATACCTAGAGTGAGCATATACATTCGTTTGATCGAATTGAAACACATACTATACCAAACTAAACTAAATCGAACCTAAATTGATATATATGCAAATTGTTCGTTAATATTTCTTCCACCCCTTTCCAAACTAAAACAAATCAAAATAGACAATTAAAAACAACCCAAATAAATAATTCAATAACACCTTTATACGTAGTATGTTTTTAAATGATAGCAAATCTAAATCAAACTAAACCGAAACGAACAGAATGTATGATTTTATTTGGTAATCATTCTTCTAACAACACCTTTTAGGCCTAAACGTATTTTGGCCACCGCATTACACTTTTCTAATTTTGGCCACCGCACTAGCTATATTTTTCTTTTTCTCAAATTTATTTATAAATCTAGGCAAGTAATTAATTAGTTCACGAGTCAATATATATGGATTCAATACGTAGCCTAACGATCAACCCTGCTAAAAGTAAAAAGCTTTTGATGTAGTTACATATGAAATAAACGAAAAATATGTTCATTTAAAGTTTTTTTTTTAAAGAAAACTTTATTAAAAAGAGCAAAGTACAAGGAAAATGAGGGAGAAAGAAGAAAAATAAAAGAAACCTACAATAAACAACAATACCACCCAACCCAAAGTAAAGTAATAAACTGATACCCGAGTCCTTAATCAAATCTTCAAAGACCCATTCGTGTTTGAGATCTTGTTCTCATAAGATGCGATCTCTGATTCTTCTTTTTGTATGATCTCCTTTGCGTGTTTAGGTTCTGAGTGGGTAAGCAATTCTCTCGTGTGACCAGCAAAGCTTTTTGACAAATAAGCTCATTGGTATCAGAATCCCAAAGATCCTCCTCCGTTGAAATAGGAACCCTCTTCTCATTTTCTGAGACATGACCGAGAAATTCATCACCTGAGAGTGAAGAGTTCGATCCTCCAAAAGCTCCCTCAAAATCAAAAGCCGCATAAAGATTATCTGTATAATCGTGATTTGCATAATCCCATCCAGAATTTGCACAATCACCCGTAATACCTATAACACTTGACTCTAAAGCCCCTATCTTGTTTTGATCAGCTTTCCCCAGATTATTCAGCGCCCTAGAAGATTTTTCTTCTTCTGTGGGCATCATAGTCAAAGTCTTATGGTTTCCCAAAGCAGAGGTGAGAAGTCTCTCAAATTCATACACCAAATAATGAGAAAGTGAGTCCACCCCTTTTGTCAAGGTGTCTTGAAAAAATTCCTTAAGATTTATGAATGCATCAGATTCAGAGATATTTTCACCGCCATGAACTTCGTCAATAGATACCAAATCCAAAGAATGATTGAAAGAATTAAAATTCTCAATATCGACTTGTAATAATGTGCCGGAGATGGAAGTTCCCATTTCACAAAGGTTATTCTCATTAAAAGGAAAAAAATCCAATTCAAGGTTATTTGAAACCATTTCATCACTAAAACCTTTATGTGAGGTCTGTTCAATAGCCAATGTTTTAGCATCAATTTCTTTCATCATTGCAATTGCTCTGGCAATACCTGCAAGAAAAAGATTGAACCCCTTCCCATTCCGTCCCTCTGGAATAAATAGAGAATCACTTCCTTTTTCAATGATTCGGATAAATCCACCAAAGTAATTTTCGACATACCCAACAAAAAGCGATCTATTCAACTCCAACCTAGGAGACCTTTTATTAGAACAAATCTTGAAAAAGGAATCGTTTAACCAAGTAATCCTAGCAAAATTGAAGTCCATAAGAGATGTGATTCCTTGCTTAGTTTCAGAAATGAGAACAGAATTGCCATCAATAACTTTAAATTGAAAGAATTTGCTTTCAATGACAAACTCATCTGTTAAAATGGGGGCAGAAAGGAAATCACCCGGAGCATCTATCAAATTTCGCTGCTTCCCACTTACTTAGTCAACTGTGCTCCGATGTAAAGGCTTCCATGTCTTCCAATTCGAATTCCTAGGGTTTCTGGCTGCGTCCACCAGTCAATTATTACAATTTCAACAAAACCTTTATTGAATATATATTTCAATGTACTTATTTTTATGTGTACATATATACATTGTTACAGTTAAGTATTTGCAATGTAACATTTAAATATAACACATTCACACGTAAATTTCTACTAATTTGTACTTTTATGGAGAATATAAAACTCTGAAACTTTTATGTTTTCAATTGTAAGTGTTGGGATATATTATCTCGGTCTGCTACTTTTCAGGCTTCCAAGGTATTATCCCAATATGAAGTCCAATCAATGAGGCTCATTTCGGCCCTTGCGGCCTATTTCGGCCCACTTGGCCTGTTCGGCCCCTTTTAGCTCATTAGGGTAGCTTTACAACCCTTCCCTTTTTCCCTATTTAAAGGAGGTTTTCCCACGATGTTAAGGGTAGGTTCCTTCCCTTCTTCTTCATCCTCTTTCTAGAATAGCTTGTATTTACATTGTATCCTCCATACAATGTAAATATGGTGATGAGGAGGGATTAATAAAATGAGAGTGGCTTGGACATTAGGCCAAAAAGTTCCACGATTTTCTCCTTTTCCGGTTTCCACGTAAAAATCGAGTATTCATACACATTTATATCTATTTATTATTTCGTGTTGGGTTAGTTTCAACAGTAAGTTAGGATGTATTCTTTTGGACTAAAATTTGCTGGTTTGGTCTGGTCTGATCTGATCTGGTCTGGTCTGGTAAACGTTTGGTCTCTGTGTATTTTATAACTACAGAAGTTAGGTCTGGTCTGGTATGGTCTATTCTGATCTGGTCTGTTCTGTTCTGGTCTGGTCTGGGACTGAAAACGGTCCAAAAGAAAACATCCTTTTAGTCTTAGTTTGAATAGCACTCACTTCAAAAAATGGATAGTAATATTTTGTTAATTATTTATCTTCAGGAAATATCTTTAATGTTCACCAAAACTAGATACGGAGTATTACTTTAGAGTAGTACATTATTTAGACACTATTTATAACTATTCGACATTGTACATTTTTTATTGACCAATTAAAAAATATGCTGTTTGGAGTACTTTTACATCTTAAAAGATGTTAGAGACACTAAAACAGACACTAAATGGAATTGCTTTCCAAGTTCAAACAGACCAATTTTTATTGACCAATTAAAAAATATGCTGTTTGGAGTACTATTTTTGTTTTTCAGCCTGTCCCAAGAATAGTACTAATGGAATTGCTTTCCAAGTTCAAACAGACACTAAAACAGTAAAACCTTTTACGAGTAACTTTTTATAAGTTCAACTTCTCTCGTAAGGGACAAATCTGTCTCATAAGGGAAATTGGAAGTGATAATACTCAAATCTCAATTCCAACTTTTACGTTTTCAATCATTTTATTGATAATTGTGCTAAGTCAAAGTGAGACACATAAAATGGGACGGGATAGTATTAATTTACAGCCAACAAAAAAAAAATTGTTAGCCAACGTTATCTGTAAAGCTTATAACCTTATAATTTTATCTTGTTACAACTTCGCTTTTGTATCATCGATGGAGTAAGGTCCAATTGAACCTGGACATATTCAGTATATTAACATCAATAACAGCTTTGTGGCACGTAGGGGTAATTTGAGTTTGAACCTCATATTATTATCTAAACTGGACTTTGCACCCCATTTTTAAAATTTTTTGTTTTTGCACCTCAATCCCATATGAAAAGACAAAAATGCCCTCAACCAGGAATATGTTGAAGGTCAACAAAATTGTTAATGGAGGGGCATTTTGATCTTTTCATATGGGGTTGAGGGTTCAAATAAAAACAAAGAAAGAACCAAAGATTTGCATAAATGCGAGTATGCCACCATATTAAACCCCAAATTAAAAAGATAACCTGAAATAACACTTATCCAAACTGCAGAATACCTAAATTAAAGATGTTTCTCTCATGTTATTTATATTAACAACATGCATTTATTACCATCTAAGCAGCCCCTTTTAATTCTTTATCACCAATCATCCACTTATATTACTACGTAACAATTAATAATAACAAGATTGATTTACATACCAGTCATGCAAACAAAGGACTACGATCGAAAGAAATTCGGCTTCCATTGGACTAGTACGATTAAGGCTTTGTTTGCATCCACTTGTGCTTAAATAAAAACACTTTTTAGGAAAAAGTGATTAGTAGTAAAAGTTGGTAGTGTTTGGTAAAATAAGTGCTTTTTGTGTAATAGAAAAAGTAAAAAGTAGATTCTACACGAAAACCGAGATAGTAAAAGTTGGTAGTGTTTGGTAAAATAAGTGTTTTTTTTTTCTTAAAAAAAGCCAAAAGCACTTATAAATAGAGTTTGCAAACAGAGCCTAATTGAAGGTAGATTCTATGGTACCCAAAAGGTACCATACCTTTGTCTACTTGGACCAATCAGATCGAATTTTGCAGTTGAATTATTTAAATCTAAATTAAAAATGATTTAATGATTTGGACCAATCATGTGAGTGGTAGATACGATACCCCATTTTTTAAATGGATACCAAAGTTGTCACCTTAATTGAAACATTGAACTATGATTTGGAAGGGACCGCGCGAACGCAGGCCCCACTATCACAAATTATGACATAGGTTCCACCGCTTGGGTAGACCTTAGGATGACACCCTTCCAATGTGCAATGGAAGTCACCAACCTAGGCCATGGGTCTTCTTGATCAACCATTGACCCCGTCCAGGTAAGTATGTTTCAAGGTGTCAATAGCTTTGGTTTTATAATAATCTTAATGCGTTGCTGCTTCTCTTTGCTTCGGTGTGGTAATCTGCAATTACCATCTAATCTCCCAAGTCCCAACTTTCACGCAGCCTGCATACTTTGTCTTGTTCAAGTTAAGCTAACTACCACTTCTTCTTGATTGTTACTCAACAAATTAAACTCAATTGATCATTTCAAATTGTGTAAAAGAAAATTGGCTTAAATATGTTTTTGGTCCTTGTAATTATAGTGTGTTTTGGTTTAGGTCCCTGCAAAATAAAAAAGTTATTATTGATCCTTGTAATTTGCACAGTTATCTTTTTTTATCCCTGACCGTTAGCATCCGTTAAATGAGTATTAAAGTTGATGTGGAAATGACATTTGAGTACATCCAAATAATATAATACATGTGCAATTCTAAATCATCCTTACATTGTTGTCCCTACTTTTTTCGTTTCAACATTAGCTAGATAAACTAATTTTTAATATATGCACATGTCTCGATCTTAATGCGATAAATGTGATACTACATATTACATATCTACCTATTAATTCACAAAGTCTTCCCGATCAATGTCAAAAGGTAGATTCACTTTTTTTGTCTCATATTTATTTATACTTCACAATTTATGTTTCACGTTGTTAATTAAATGGTTTAGCACTCCCCAATCTTACCCAACCCGTGATAGATTATGCTTTTCATAGCTTGGTTCGTCTAAGTGCATGCTTAATGGTCTCAAAAGATGAGAATGTTCAAACGATGCACATTATTTTTGATGGAGGTGCACATAATTCAGACTTTAAAAGGACAAAAAATGTTGAATTTATTTACATAAACGTCACTACATTTTTTTTATGATAGCTCATGTTTCTATTTTATATAATGAACAATTTTCAAATCTAACATTATTCTTGTTCATTCTAATTCTCTTTTTACACATTAGATGTCTTCTCATGTGAACTCAACCCTATATATATAATGCACAATATTCAAATCTAACATTCCGGTTCATTTATAGAGATAATGCTGGAGAAATTATTTTGGTAGTAAAGCATCAATATTGAAGACAATGAAAGTAAAAAACGGATGTTTGTATTTTGGTTTACTCGCAACCTGCATGGGTCAACCCACTTAACCAACAACATGTGCAAGTTGACCCACTAAACCAGTCAGTTCATCGGATTAAAGAATGACAACTCTAACACATCGTGAAATGAGATGAAATGGACTAGCCCTATGAAGTTGGACTCATTTTGACAGCTCTATCCATTTTCGATTAAATTTTATTTTAAACTCTGATTGACGAATTCCTGTAGAATTCATTTTCCCTGCAATTTTAATTAAAACTTTAAGCACCCATTTTGCCGTGCGATGCACAAGTACACATACTAGTATATTAATATATTATGATTCGAAATGGGGCGGGTTCGTTATGCGTAAAATGTGTCCATCCGCCTTGCTAAATTTTTAGTCATTTCCAAACTTAATATTTTCTCTAATTTTTTTATTTAAACATTTAAGACCACAAGGGGCAATACACACTAATAAACATTTCATTCCTGTTATATACAGCTATATCAAATATAAATATCATCTCTAAAATGAAAACATATACTACCTCCATCCCGGTGGACTATATCGAAAGAAATTCGGCTTCCATTGGACTAGTACGATTAAGGCTTTGTTTGCATCCACTTGTGCTTAAATAAAAACACTTTTTAGGAAAAAGTGATTAGTAGTAAAAGTTGGTAGTGTTTGGTAAAATAAGTGCTTTTTGTGTAATAGAAAAAGTAAAAAGTAGATTCTACACGAAAACCGAGATAGTAAAAGTTGGTAGTGTTTGGTAAAATAAGTGTTTTTTTTTTCTTAAAAAAAGCCAAAAGCACTTATAAATAGAGTTTGCAAACAGAGCCTAATTGAAGGTAGATTCTATGGTACCCAAAAGGTACCATACCTTTGTCTACTTGGACCAATCAGATCGAATTTTGCAGTTGAATTATTTAAATCTAAATTAAAAATGATTTAATGATTTGGACCAATCATGTGAGTGGTAGATACGATACCCCATTTTTTAAATGGATACCAAAGTTGTCACCTTAATTGAAACATTGAACTATGATTTGGAAGGGACCGCGCGAACGCAGGCCCCACTATCACAAATTATGACATAGGTTCCACCGCTTGGGTAGACCTTAGGATGACACCCTTCCAATGTGCAATGGAAGTCACCAACCTAGGCCATGGGTCTTCTTGATCAACCATTGACCCCGTCCAGGTAAGTATGTTTCAAGGTGTCAATAGCTTTGGTTTTATA